GCTCCATGCCACAAAGGGCTTTAAAAGTCAAAATCAGCATCTTGAATTGGGCCCACAAGCACACTGGCAAAACCCGTGCAGCATGTAGAGCAAAGGTGTAACGTGTCATTGTAGAGACATAATAACTGCTTGGGTTTCTAGCAAGAGGAGCTGAAATAAGGTCCTGTTTAGAGTCACGTAAAGAATGAATAAGATTATACAGAAAAATAAGGGCACCCAGATACTGGAGGGATTGTGACCTAAGTGCAAGTTGTTTTAATTGAGCTTGAATATAACAAATCCTAGAGACACTCTTGGCATTCTCTTGTTTGAGATGGTCATATAACCCAATCCAGGAGTTTTAACTTGAGCTACAAGGTAGAATAGAAAGTAAATTAAAAGATAGGTAAATAAATGAGACTTTACCCCAGCTGCCAAGCCTGTGGTTCCAGCTGGGTCAGCCTCCAAGATAACTCTGGAATAGTCTGGGGGTGGACGTGGTCTTTTTCCCTATTTCAGTGGTTCTCAACCTTTTTAATGCCACGACCCCAACCGGTCATAAGTCGAGGACTAAACCGGTCATAAGTCGAGGACTACCCAACCGGTCATAAGTCGAGGACTTTCCCTGCCCAGGAGTGCCACGCATGCGTGGTTCCGCCCCCTGCGCCGGCCGAGGCATAGCTGGCAAGCGGCAGAGATGGAGCAGGCCGACCACCAGCTGGCCCAGCCCAAGGGAGGTAAGGCACCCGCCGGAAAAGGGGGGAAAAATGGCGGACAAAAAAATGGTGGACAGCTTTGCTTGGCGACCCCCGTGAAATGGTCGATCGACCCCAAATGGGGTCCCGACCCACAGGTTGAGAACCACTGCCCTATTTGCTATTATCATGAAGAATATGTATTTTTTTTTTAAAAAATGATACTGCACTGATACCATAGTGTTTCATATGATTTCTATTAAAATAATACTTTATATCTGTTGACAAACAATGGTAACTTTAGGGCCTGTGGATTTCATCTCCTAGAATTCTGAGAGTTGAAGTCCACAGGTTGTAAAGTTGCCGTGGTTGACCACCCCTGCTTTATGTGACTTAGCTTTGAGGTTGCTAGAGTAATTCCAACAAATTTTATGTGACTATAATATCAGTACTTATAATTTTTCCCCCCAGGCAATCCTTCATTCCAATATTGGAAGGAACTGGCTGAGGAGAGGAGGAAAGCCCTGCATGAGGTTTTACAAGAAAATGAAAAGGTAATGTTCTTAGAAGTGGCAGAAGACATCCTTTGGAAATCTGTCATTATCTAAAAATCTTTTTTTTTTCTCTAGTTGCATCAAGAAATTGAATTAAAAAATAGTGAAATTGCTCACCTAAAAGAAGAAAACGAAGAACTGGCAGAACTAGCTGGCCATGTTCATTATATGGCAAATATGATAGAGGTAAGTTGCTCGGTTGATAAAATGTTGACTGGAGTTTATGCCTTTGGGAAATTAAAAAGTAAGTAAATGGTTAATCTCTGGGATGGAAGTAACAGGGAGTATCCTGCTACAAGTCCATTTTGCATGGCAGATGTGATCTTTTGAATCCTGATCTCAATTTTTCAACTTTGAGGTTGAGCAATAGCAATAGCACTTAGACTTATATACTGCTCCATACTGCATTACAGTGCTCTCTGAGCAGATTACAAGGTCAGCATATTGCCCCCCCAGCCATCTGGGTCCTCATTTTATCGACCTCAGAAGGATGGAAGGCTGAGTCAACCCCGAGGTCCCCTCAGGTTCGAACTCCTGCTGTGAGCAGAGTTGCTGTCATAACCCAAGGACTACATGTACAGTTAGCGTGTTTATACTTTTAAATAGCTATAATTTGAAATGTAAAGTCAAACTTACCAAGAATAGAAGTAAAATACTATACAAGGCTGCTTACCAGGAAAAGAGCAGCATTTCAGCCTGTGAATTTGCCTCGTGCAAATTTTGTATTATCACATTGCCTTTGTAATAGTAGGTGAGTGCCATTTCACACACTAAAGAGAATGTCCGCAGGGCTTCCGAGATATACAAAATGATTTGTGCTTTAAGCTGTCCTTTTGGGGTTTCGTCCCCACAATGGACCATTTCATTCTATCTTCTTTTGAGTCCTTAGAGTTGGTTTTAAAAAAAAAATTTTCCCAGGCCCTGGGTATTTGTGGCACACATTAGCCAACAACAATAATAATACAAGTTCAATCACCCTTCCACTGGTTGGAGTTAGTTTGGAGATGGGAGAATGTATGTACCATTTTGGATATTGTGGACAGGCAAACATTGATCGCAGGGACTCGTTGATTTATTTAGTATTTCTTGATCAAATGGCCCTTTCCCCCCATCTCCCATGCCATATACTTCCTAATGACAAGTACAAGCATGTCACCATATGAAGAAAAAAAGCATTTGTATTCTTTGAGGTTATTTATAGAACAGCATTTTCAGAGTATTTTACTAAGTCAAAAGAAGATAAGTGGATCTATTCGCTTCACATTTTTACAAAGTTTAGCTGGCTTTCAGATTCTACCAAGCGGTACATTGTATATGTACCAACCATGTTCCAAAAAAGAGGGTGTATTCTAGGGCAAAGAGAAATTGTGCACAAGATTGGTCCTTAAGCCTAGCTGACACCATAGAACTTTTCCAATTTAGTGCTGAAGAGTGAGTAGCAATTATGCAAACAAACATGACTGAGTCACTGACTTGTCAGACAAGAGTGTAGTTCTAAGGCTAAATGCCACTACGCTAAAAGCAACTTAGCAGCTTCTTTGGTCTAATAGTTAAGGGTTACGAAACCAGGAGACCATGAGTTCTACTCCACCTTCGGCATGAAATATGACTTTGGGCCAGTCATTCTCTCAGCCCACCTCACGTCACCACACAGGGTTGTTGCAGTGGAAAACGAGGAGGAGGAGGAGAAGGGAGTATTAATTATGTTTGCCACCTTGAGTTATTTATTTAAAAAAAGGATAATTTAAAAAATGGAGAACTAATGGAATGTTCTATAGACTTGGAGTATTACTGCTTAAGATAGTGCTATGCAGATGAAATTTTGTCTCTTAACACCATTGTTTCACTTATCTAGCAAATCACTGGAAAAGTACCAGAAAGCCTAGATATTTTGAAAAATTTAGATCTGGAAGAAATTGCATATGAAGAAAATGATTCTGCTGAGGAAGATTTAGATGGTGAATCTGAAGAGGAACATTCACAATTTTCCAGCAGTTATACAGATGATGTTGCAGATGTGCCTCTAAATTGAGAAAGTAACCTCTGAAAGTATTGGGCTCTAAAGTGGAGGTGGGGGGCAGAGCAATCAAGAAATCCTCTGAAAACTACAGATTTATCAAAGATTTGGAGGATGGGATTGCACTACTAATGTGTTGCAGTGACTAACAGTCTTACCAGAAGTATTAGATTGTATGTTGTCACTTATTAATTGGAAATACTGTGTATTTCAGCTTGTAAATAAGTTTTTATTCATTTATGACATTTGTAATTACCAAATAAATTTACCCACACAATTATGATATGGTTTTCAAAATGGAACTTATTTCTTGATACATCATAATAACCAATCTAGTTTTATCTGGCACGTATCTTTATTGCTGCCTAGAGACCTCTTCCATTATAGCTCAACTCCCAAATATTTTGAAATTAGTAATTTTTCTTCAATTCTTCCCAAACCAGACGTGCCTCTGCTTCTGCCTTTCAGGATTAATTTGCAGGTTTACCTTGTCACAAAAGATAGTATCTTTCAAATGTAAAACACTTTTTCTAATGACTTTATTAAATCCACAGCTTGGGACCCCTCAATCTTACCTTCTAATTATCCCTGTGCATGGAATAGACAGTATTTGGAAGAAAACTGCCATATTTTGTTTCAAAGTTTACTGTTAAATCTTTATAAAATTAGTGCAGTGTAAGAGAACATATTTAATTCTACTGGGTTATATTTAGCAGAATAGATTAATCATTTAACAGGGAAATGAATTGCCCTGGCCACTTCACTTTGCATAAATGTTTAATCTGTACATCATCTTACCTGTTTTTTGCCTTGCTGCTTCTGATTTTTGTAACTTACCTGATAAAAGTTTTCAAGAAAATTTGAAAGCTGCTTATTATATTGTGCCATTTTGATTAGTTTTATTAAAGTTACCTTTCTGCTGTGGATCTCATATTTTTCCTTACTAGACAAATCATTTTAAAAAATGTTTTATTTTGATGCTTTGACTACATGGGATATAGGGATTGCAGCTGTTTCCAACTGGGTGTTCCCCTGCTAAAGTAACCTACAGCCCCATCACCTCAAATCAATCAAACTGAAACTTTCTTCATCACAAATGGTAAGACTTCTTCCCAATCTAAGACCAGATCCACAATTATCAAATGTTTAGCTTAATGGGATTTGTAATAGATTTCAATAATTTTTAACGGTAATAGTGCACGAGGTGTTATTGGGCATAACAGCTTAATTGTGTTTTGAAAGCTGTTTATTGTTCTTAAAACCATTTTCGCAAAGCATTTCTTCAGATTGATAGCATGTAGTAAAATGAAAACAAGCATCTAGCCAACCTTGGCTGAACTCAAAAATAGGTAAGCGGACTTAAAACGTGGATAGTTCTTGAAAGACTGCTAGGAGATCCCAGGGTTAGGTGCTAGACCAGACATGTCAAACTCGTGACGTATTGGAGCTTTTCCCCCATTGCTGGCAATGGGGTGATCGCAGTTTCCTGGTGACGCGTCTGGCCCGCGAGCCAGCAGTTTGACACCCCTGTGCTAGACTAATAAGTTGAACATCCAGGCAGTAAGCAATGGGGATCGGTTCTGTTGAGTTTAACTTTGGACGTTTATCCTTTTTTTCTTTATTGATTGAATGAATCTTAGAATTAAATCTCAGTTTAAACACTAAGCAGCAATTTTATTGTGTCAAATATTTGAAGAAAGCAATACCTAGTGCCTCCGTAGCAGAATATTTGTTCCGACACACATTCCCTTAATTCTATTTGTATACTTCCATGCCTGGATATCCCATAAGCATGTACATTAAGGTAGCATAGTTTTGGGGCCAGCCAAACCATTCCATATTAGATAGGTATTCCAACCTTTTCTCTAATGTTTGGCCACCAATTTCATGAAATAATTTAATATAAGACATATTATTACAGCAGACAACAGTCATAAGATAACAAACCCAGAACTTCACAAGAACTAGATCTGAGTCAGCTTCTGCAGAATCTTCATCTTCTTCAAGATAGGAAAGCATAATTTCAGGAAGGTGGTGAGCTTTGGCTTCATTTTGGTTTATGGGGTTAATGTAGCATACACTACATAATCCTTTTAATACGGAGATTCTGACTTTTGTGGATGTATCTGGCATAATCAAAATATCAATCATGTCCTGAATATATTGTAAAGCAAGACTTCCAGCACCAACACCACCTGTAAAGCAATCATAGTTCTTAAATTCTGAGCCACTTTCTGCATAAACAAAGCCTTTTAAGCACTAGTATCCAAAAATGCCCTATTCCATAAAATGGATGGTTGATTTAAAGCACAAAATATCACATGGGTCTAGCTTGGTTCATCTGTCTGAGTTTCTTTGATACATGCAGGGGGAAAAAATCACTGCTGCCAGCTGTAACATTTCCCAAATTTTCAATAAATGACATCAGCAATCTGCATATAAGATGAAGCAGATTCTTCCCCTTTCCTGCCCTCATTCAGCTTGCAGAATTTGCACTGATGATTTGAATGCTGGTATTATAACTGCTGCCTGAAACAAGAAACAACAGCCAGAAAAATGGGATTTCTGCTTCTCAGTTTAACCCAGAGAAATCACCTCCGAGCCCAATACTGTGTTTCCCCAAAAATAAGATCTGCCCTGGAAATAAGCCCTAGCTTGATTTTTGGGGTTGGGTCTAATATAAGCCCTACCCCCCAAAATAAGCCCTACTTGAGAGCCTGCGCCAACCAACTGCCCATTCCGTCAGACATCTGGGGGGCCTCTGCCACGAGGAAGGGGGGAGCTACCCCACGCATCCCACAACTGCTTACTGTGTCGAAGGGACCCCGCAGCTAGGCCTTCCATGTCCCAACACCTGTCACACTTCGCCTGTTCGGTAGTAGCTTCTCCCACTTTCTCCCTCCTCCTTTGAACAGCCCTTTGCTCCCGTTGCTGCTTTTTCAGTCCCGGATCTCAGTTTGTCCAGAGCCTGTGCAGATGGTCTTTGGAAACGAAGCCCCACAGCGACCGGGTGAGGTGGGAACCATTCCCTTCGCATTTGGACCGGCTCCGAAAGGGCCAATCTGGCTTTGCAGCAAGCAAAGGGATTGGAGGCACATGAATGCATGCTAGTCTGGTGTCTCAAAACACGGGTTTTTTTCAGGGCTGCCAGATTTTCACTGCCAGACTGTTTAACTTTCTTTAAAGTTTGCTTGATGCAGAATACGGTTCCTTCCTGTTGTGCATCAAGTAAACTTTGATCAGCTGGCTATCGTACTGTAGAGGTGAGGTTTAGCAGGCCAAGCATGCAGGCAGAGGCATGGGGGGAGGTGGGCAGTGCAGATTGTGTGCATCTGCCTCACTGTTTTCAGTGGTGCTTCAGTACCCCGGTGGCTGGCCAGCCGCTTCAAATCAGCTACATCATGCCATGGAGAGATTGGCTGAGGTTTGGGGGATGGTCTATCCCTATTTGTGGCGTGGCTGCCAACCAATCGCCATGCCACTTCTCGGGAGGGCAGCGTTAGCTGCCAATGCAGTGATGGGGAAGGCAGGGTGGGGTGGGAAACCAGCGGAACCTCCAGGAGCTGCAGGGATCCCTGTGCGCCCTTTGCAGTTGTCCTCCTGCAACGCACAGCCTCTCCCTGTAGGAAATCCGGCTCCCCCAGGGTAAGGTTGGTCATTGTGAGAGGCTTGTCCTGCATGTGCGGTGGAGCTGGTGGACGGGGATGGGCTACGCCTCCCTTACAATATTGATGATGCATGTAAGTAAAAAGGCAGTTTCCAAAGCCTTCCTTCCCCACCAAGTGAAACCTGAGTCGCCTGGGGGGGGGCTGGCCGGGCTGGGCCTTGTAATGAAAAAATAAGACATCCTCCGAAAATAAGCCCTAGTGGGTCTTTTGGACCCAAAAAATATATAAGACCCAGGCTTATTTTGGGGGAAACACGGTAGAACAGCACAGGATCTGTTGGACATGCTTGCAAAGAAGGCATCAGCTGAACCTGGAAATGTTACTGTCACAAGCAGGAGTGTCTGCTACAAAAAAGGATCCATAATGGGTATATAATTGGTGAGTGCTGTATGCAATTATGTTGTGGTAGGCTGCTCTTTTTACATTGAACAGTTCTTACATGAGTCAGTTTCTAAAATAAAAACCTTAGTTGAAGAAATGTATGAATTAAAAAAAAATCCTCCCGAATGGAAAAAAAAGTTGGATAAATAAACTAGAGGAAGGCACTTTTCCTGCACAAAAAAAATATTACTTTGCATGGCTTTACTCTACATATCTGGCTTGGAGGTCAATTGGAAGGACCTCCAATCTCTGTTGATTAAAAAGGAGATGAGGTATGATGATAGCCAAAGGATCAATTAAGTTACAATTCTTGCTTCTAAACACCATTTTTATCAAGCAATTGGAAACTTTAATAGCAGTGATGACTTTTAGGCCTTTTTAAGAATGCAGTAATTTTGAACCACATCTCTTCTAAGTCCCAACTAACAGGCAAGGATACAGAGATTCTACTGTAGCTGAAGACCCCAGAATACCTGAATCTCCAGCTGAACTCTGTAGGTCTGATCAGTCCTGCTTCCCTAATATTTAGAATGATGGGAAACCTTTTGGGCTTGGTGTGTCAAAAATTCATAGTGTCTAACTTGACTCTGCTGAAGCATCATCCTGAACAAGGGAAATAATCTCCCCCCCCCCCGCATCTATGCACATGAATAGTGGCATTTGGCAATGCCAAAGCTGGGTCTGAAACTGAGACCTGGGCCTCAATTTTAACTTTAGTGCCACTGATGACACTCAAAAAGACTAGCTTGGGGGATGGTTCAATTGGCCCCATGGCCCAGCATTCCCCATGATCAGCTATACCCGCTTAACTTCAAACTGGCAGCCCCCCAAAACCGGCAAAAGCACACCTCATTCTTGTATTGTCCCCCCACATAAATCCCAGAGGAACTGAGGTCATGTAGGAATACGCCCCACTTACGTGCCACATCCACAACCTAAAATTGTTCTAGAATGGGGTTGCTTTCAAAAAATAGTTGTTGGATGTTGGTGAATGCTGGCATGTCACCCAAAATGTAGTGTGTCACCTTTGACACGTGTCTTAAGTTTGACATAACTGATTTAAGGATAATAGTATTACATATTATTTAGATGAGTGTAGAATACATTAATCCCCTCTTTTTGAATCTCTTATCCCAAACCTAGCTCAAACTTTCATGCATACCTGTGTAAGCTAGCAGGCCTACATATAATGCAGCCTTGGCTCTTTCTTCCAGTGACAGTTCTGTATTTCTTAGATCCATGCCATATATTTTAATTTTGTGGTGGTGGAAGATCGGATCTATCAGCTTGATCATTGGTTCCCTCATTCTATCACAATAGATGCTATAGCAAGCTTTTAGTGTACTAAATACAATTCCCATGTTGCCTAAAAAAGTATACTTTTTTCATCAAGTAGAAAAACACTGGAAAAATCAATATATTGGTTCAGTTATTACAAAACTCATTCATAACTGGTAACTAGGTAATGAGTGCTGTAAACAGAATGTACAATGTAACAGCACAGATTCTTAATGATGTCATGCGTAGGGTTATTCCTCTGTTTTTCTAGTTTACTTAAATCCTACTTTAAAAAAATATTTCTCTATTAATTTTGCATCACCCTTTTAACTTTTCTCTGTACCAACTGAGATTAATTAAAAGATACTTTCTTCAGCTCCACATTCCAATAAACAGCAGAACAGCAAGTTCTAACTCACCTTTGGAAAAATCCAATATTTAACAGCACCTGCTAATTGAACTGTGTTCTAGAATTAGCAAAGTTGACGGTTAAAATTCCTTTTAAAAGTACCTTCTACCAAAAGTGATAAGGCACTGAGGGAAGCTTTAAAGTCAAAGGAAAGAGTTCTCTGTCTTCTAAATATTAAATCTTAGCTTCCATTATCTGGGACCACAGTTGTTACAACTGTTAACAATTCAGTGTCCAGGAATATTTGCAGGAAGAAGCTGTCTAAATCCTGCTCTGAAAGCCTTACACACCCATGAGTCCTTACAGGTAGTCCGGACTAAAAGTACAAGCTCTGTCTTTATTATAAGGTTACATTAACAGAATTTTTCAAGACTGAAAAATATTTTTTCCCTCCTTTCCCTTTACCCTCTGGGAAAATAAGGGACAATCTCATCTGAAACATTTCCTACGCCCTCCCTCCTGCTACGGGCTGAGAAATCGTTTATACACTAGTTGTCCAGTTTGCAGCTGCCTCCCAACGTCATTTCCACATACTTTTACGAAACTGACTGCCAATAAACACAAGAAAACCTTATCACATGCTATTTCGTATTTCAAAAATAATATTTATTATAACTTAAAGGAAGCAGTAAATACCAGAAATAACAAATACCACAAAATTAGAAGGCATATATAAGTCAAGAATCAGTACAAAAGACGGCCATAAAAGGTTGCAAGCTCATGTGAGCAATGTGCTATAAAATCCTGAAGCATAATACTTTCACATCTTATGAGAAATGCTTGTTGTTGTTTTTTCAGTAGACCTTTCAGTAACTGTACAAATGTAATTTTAATCAGGTAATACTTATATTTGATTTATAAATATACAGATATATACATTCACGAAAATGTCTTAACCATGCATTTGCAAAAAAGGGCTTTATTAAATCATATTTCTAAACAAAACTCCAAAATCTACCTGATTCAGAGAATGCTTGATTGTTGTTTTTTTCTGCTTGTAGACCCGAAAAGTAACTTTCATAATTGTATATCCACAAAAATAGTGGCAAGGAGTTTATTAAATACTTTGGAGCTACAATTCTATTCATTTTTATTTGAATAGAATAAATCAGGTTAAACTTAAAAAGGATTTTCTTTAGAGAAAGTCTGCATCAGATTAAGCTATAAGCTATCTTGATCACTTTATGGTCTATAAGGCAGTCCAGAAATCATCTTTGTTATCATCTGTCATATTGAAAAATAAAATAAAATAAATCAAGTTCTTAAAAAGTAACAGGTAAATTTCCCCTCCCTGAAATTTTGGGAATTCGGGGCTTATCTGTCATTAAGTATACTCTATATACTTCTCTGTAGGTTAAAAAAAAGCAAATTTAATTTTTCACTTGCTTTACACAACTTCCACAATTGGTTATCGATGAAAAATGTATTCTAGTATCAACATGCATTCTGAGTGAAGGGCAGGAAAAAAGGAAGAATGGAAATTTAAACGGGGCACAAATCACACTATCTGGAATTTCAACATCCTTGGTTTGGCCTAATTTTGAGTATTGCTTATGCTACCTTAGATGGTTATCAGTAATAAAATGAGACAGGCAGATATTTGATGAATACAGAGATTCAGAGAAGGTGGGAGTTAGAATGGCTTTAAATGTTTGCTTTTCAATGTTTTCAACACAATATCACATATTGCAAACTGGCACAATTATGCCCACCAAACACACACTGCTCTATATTTAACTTATGTTATAATTTCAAAACATCTCTCATTTTTCCAAAGCTTTACAACAATTACTTGGATTTCACAAAAAAGCAAGATTATCATAATCTTCAACAAATTAATATTTCACTATAAGCTACATAGAAGAGCCAACAGCAGCCCATACATTAAATCCTCTCTCTTTTTTTAATGCTCATAAGTTCACAAGTTACAAAACAATTTTCAAATAATGGGTTTTGAATTTTCATTATTTTTTTTACAGGACCATCATGGTTCAGATGAAATTGGCCTATCTTAAAATGTAAATTGAACGCTTAAAAAGCTGTAGCCACTTCAGTTGTACGTCGACCACCAACTTTAACAAATTCACGGGGGAATTTGTCTAGCTGTTCATATGCCAGCCGTCCATCTTCTCCTGAACAGCGACAAAATAAAACAACAATTTAATGTTTCATCTTTTCAACCTGTGGTTCTAAACTGCAAATTCCAATCTCACGCTGCATGGCATGACAAGACTGGATATAATATCTGACATTTCAAAGAACTCTGATTATGGACAAACATCGGGTCTCCTTTGAGACGACCTGAAATCTTGGTGACTTCATGGAAGTGGCCTTTCAAGTTTTCTTGGTAACAATAATGGCACTGTTTTATCATGGGCTTCTTCCAAATTTTTATTTTTACTTCCTAGTATAGCCTACAGCCCTGGAATTTTCTATAAGAAATCTTACCTTTCCTCTCAAAAGATGAGGAAGAAGGAAAAGGAAGATGGAGAAATTGCTCCTTCTTATTTTCGGCTTCTCCTTTCCTGAGAATTCCAGTCACGGTGAACGGAGTACAAGTTTTTTACACAGCAAGTCACTTAATTATACTACCATGTTCATGTCAATAGGAGAGGATTATGGATGGTAAATTTGGTAATACTACCTCATTTCTATTTTTTGTAGTTCTTTGATTAACCCTTCTCATACTAATATTTTGTCGTGTTCATTAGGTTTCTTTTTCCATCTGGAGTAAAAAGAGATACCAGCAACATCATAAAAAAAAAAAACCCAACCTACCAAGAGAGAGCAAAGTTTCAGAAGCTGTATTCCTAACTTCTTCATTGCCAGACTGGCAAAGAGTGACCAGCATTTTAATACTTTCAGTTGCCTATAGAACAATAAAGAAATAAATAAATAATTCAGTTCTTTTCTTTCTTACAGAAAATCTTGCTTTATAGTGATTAACAGAACTGTACATCTGGGTTTTAAACCTGTATATAAAGAATAGAAAATAGCAGAGTTGGAAGGGAACTTGGAGGTCTTCTAATCCAACCCCCTGCTCAAGCAGGAGACCCTATGCCAGGGGTAGGCAACCTTGGCTCTTTTATGACTCGTGGACTTCAACTCCCAGAATTCCTGAGCCAGCTGTCCACGAGTCATAAAAGAGCCACGGTTGCCTACCCCAACCCATACGGTAAGGTCTGTTTACCGACAGGTTAGAGAAGAATTCTTGGAGGTCACTACCTCGAGGGTAATGAAGGCCTCCATTCGGTAAGACGGTTAATTAACAAGAGTGTTAAATTTTTATATTTTTGTATACACAAAAGAGTTCGGTAGACCTGCACGGAGGTGTCGAGTCTCTTAGAAAACGAGTTGGTGTCACCGATGAGGTTCCCATGCAGACACATCTGAAAACATCCTCCCAAGAAACTTCCCGGGCCTTCCAAAGGAGGCAACTGGTGTCATGATTTCAGCAGAGATACTTTGTTTACACAAAGATTCTTTACAAGGCAGCGGGTTCCAATGCATTTTAGTTTTATTAATTATGCACGTTTTAAAATTAAAGGTATTTGCAACGCTAAAAGATACACACACGTAGAGAGACTGATTACCGTATATATATATATAAGAATGGTAGATACTATTAGTGGAACAACCTGCCTCCAGAAGCGGTGAATGCTCCAATACTGGAAGTTTTTAAGAAGAAACTGGACAGCCATTTGTCCGAAATGGTATAGGCCAGGGTTACCTGCCTGAGCAGGGGGTTGGACTTGATGACCTCCAAGGTCCCTTCCAACTTTATTATTATTATTATTATTATTATTATTATTATTATTATTATTATTATTATTATTATTATTATTATTATACGTATTGTTGTTATATTTACAGGCAGTCCTCAACTTATAACCATTCATTTAGTGACTGGTCAAAATTACAACAACACTAAAAAAAAAGGTGACTTTTGACAGTTTTTCATTCTTACAACCATTGCAGCATCCCCTTGGTCTCTTGGTCAAAATTCTATTATAATGACTGCAGTCTCCTGGGATGATGTAATCACCTCCTGACAAGCAAAGTCCATGGGGAAGCCAGATTCACTTAACAAACAGATTACTAACTTAACAACGGCAGTGATTCACTGAACAACTGTGGCAAGAAAGATCATAAAATGGGCAAAATTCACTTAACAACTGTCTTGCTTAGCAATGGAAATTTTGGATTGAACTGTACCCTTAGTCGAGGACTACCTGTACCATACTCTCAAATGACTTATGACAATTTATGCAATAACAGCTAACTACAAAAATACATAATTTGTTGGTAGTGAGGGACATCATGACAGATTATTTTGACACAATTATCTTTCAGTGTCCCAAATTACATGGTAGGGGGGTGAAGGATAATTCTTGACTAAAATCTATGCTGAAGGGGACAGGGGAAAGGAGGAATTATTCTCTTTTCTATTTCATCAACTCTCCTCACTAAATGGTTGCATTTTCTTCACATATATTTGCCTCCATTTATACATAGGCCCTAATTTCAGCCTAGGAAACATTTCCATGACAGAAAGGACGAGCTATGCACAAGAGGATTTGTCTTAGAAATCTACAAAAGTTGATGAAGTTAGCAGTGATGGCGAAATTGACTGCTTTGATTAAAGAAAAGAATACAATTAATTTTGTTTTTATTTGGAAACTGCTTTTGGACTTAGTGCTAGGGGTGGGGAAAAAATGAATATTTGATTTTGGGAATTGCTGATTAGATAGGTTTGTTGTTATAGAAATGGCTAGTATATTATGTAAACGTAAAAAGGTGAGGTTGTATGTTATTCTACTGCACCAAAAGAAGTCGGAAGTTCTTTTCTTTTTCTTTTCTCTTTTCCCCTACACTTTTTCTTAATAATAATAATAATAGTAAAGTTGGAAGGGACCTTGAAGGTCATCTAGTCCAACCCCCTGCTCAGGCAGGAAACCCTATACCATTTCGGACAAATGGCTGTCCAGTCTCTTCTTAAAGACTTCCAGTGTTGGAGCATTCACCGCTTCTGGAGGCAGGTTGTTCCACTGGTTAATTGTTCTCACTGTCAGGAAGTTTC